CAACACCATTTATTAATCAGGGTATCCTTTCCCCCATTGTCTGTTTGTGTCAGGTTTGTCAAAGATCAGATAGTTGTAGTTGTGTGGCATTCTTCTTAAGGCCTCTGTTATGTTTCATTGGTCTATATCTCTGTTTTGGTACCAGTACCATGCTGCTTTGATTACAATAGTCTTGTAATATAGTTTGAAGTCAGGTAGTGTGATGCCTCCAGCTTGTTTTATTTTTGTCTAGGATTGTTTTAGCTATGTGGGCTCTGTTTTGGTTCCATGTGAAGTTTAAGGTGGTTTTTTCCAATTCTGTGAAGAAATTCATTGGTAGCTTGATGGGGATAGCATTGAGTTTATAAATTTCTTTGAGCTATATTGCCATTTTCATGATATTGATTCTTCCTAACCATGAGCATGGAATATTTTTTCATCCATTTGTGTCCTCTCTTGCTTCCTTGAGCAGTGCTTTCTAGTTCTCCTTGAAGAGTTCCTTCACATCCCTTGTTAGTTTTATTTCTGGGTATTTTATTCTCTTTGTAGCAATTGTGAATGGGAGTTCACTCATGATTTGGCTCTCTGTTTGTCTGTTATTGGTGTGTAAGAATGCTTGCGATTTTTGCACATTGATTTTGTATTCTGAGACTGCTGAAGTTGCTTATCAGCTTAAGGAGATTTTGGGCTGAGACAATGAGTTTTTCTAAATATACGATCATGTCACCTGAAAACAGGGACAATTTGACTTCCTCTCTTCCTACTCAAATACTCTTCATTTCTTTCTTGCCTGATTGCCCTAACTTCCAGTACTATATTGAATAGGAGTGGTAAGAGAGGGCATCCTTGTCTTGTGCCAGTTTTCAATAGGAATGCTTCCAGTTTTTTCCCATTTGGTATGACATTGGCTGTGGGTTTGTCATAAACAGATCTTATTATTTTGAGATACATTCCATAGATACCTAGTTTATTGAGAGGTTGCAGCATAAAGGGCTGTTGAATTTTGTTGAAGGCCTTCTCTGCATCTATGGAGATAATCATGTGGTTTTTGTCTTTGGTTCTGTTTATGTGATAGATTATGTTTATACATTTGTGGATGTTGAACCAGACATGCATTCATGAGATGAAGCTAACTCGATTATGATGAATACACTTTCCGATGTGCTGTTGAATTTGGTTTGCCAGTATTTTACTGAAGATTTTTGCATTAATGTTCATCATGGATATTAGCATGAAATTTTCTTTTTTAGTTGAGTATCTACCAGGTTATGGTATGAGGATGATCTTGGTGTCATAAAATGAGTTAGTTCAGAAAACCAACCAGCCATGTTGTGGGAAGATGATTAAACCATTTTGTGCTGAAGTGTAACTCATCTTGCATATATTTAGCACCAGTTTGTTTCTGCTTTTCCTGCTTCGCATATCTCAATCAGCATCACTCTCAGATAACTTAAAACATGTTTGATCCATAAGTACATGATAATACATAACCTCATGTATTAGTCCATTCTTGCATTGCTATAAAAAATATCTAAGACTGAGTAATTTATAAAGAAAAGAGGTTTAGTTGTCTCATAATTCCACATGCTGTACAGCAAGCATGATTCTGGCCTGCAGAGGCCTCAGAAAACTTAGAATCGTGGCAGAAGGCATTAGGGAAGTGGACATATCATATGTGGCTGGAGCAAGACCATGAGAGAGAGGCAGTAGTTGCCACACACTTTACAAATAACCAGATCTCACAATGACTAACTCAAAATACAGCACCAAGTGGGGATGGTGCTAAAGCATTCATGTAAGACCACTATAGCACCATCCCCACTTGGTGCTGTATTTTCTAGACCACTATCATGATACATGACCTTCCACCAGGCTTCACTTTCGGCCTTGGGGATTACAATTCAACATGAGATTTGTGTGGGGACACAGATCCATACCATATTACCTCATATCAGACCAATATATCTACATTAGCAAAAACTGCAATAGTGGGCAAATAAATAAAATAAACTGGTTATTTACCAGTTCTATCTACAACTACTATGGCATCCACTAAGCAATCTTTTACAGGTATAATTGAGGTATTATCTTGAAAATGATATCTGAATGATTAGCGCCATCTGTCAGGATGCATCATATATCTTAAATTAACAATTATTATTTGGTGCTGTATTCCCCATTATGTAGATTCTATGTAGAGAATAATAGAAATATTATTCTATTATATCAACATCACTCTGAGCCATCCACTTGGGAAAATCTATACTTACCCCTCCACAATCCTAGGCTCTGTAAATGTAATGGAGTACTTCCATCTGGGACAGACAGAGTCCCATTAATCTGTAATCTATGGAACAAATATAGTCACTGGAGACTCCTTGTAGCAGGGACTTACAGGGATAGAAATGACAAGAGTTACCATGCCAGCAGGGAAAATTGGCTCTAATTACATTGAAAAGCCAGCACTGGTATTATGAATGGATGTGGTTTGTCACTGTATCAGGAGGTGTTCAGCTTGAGGAGTAGAACCAGTAGGAGATATACCTAGGGAAATCTGTTGCAAGGAATTGGCCTGTATGACTGTGAGGCTGCCTAGGAAAGCATACATTTATAAGGCACATTGTCAGGAAGAGTAGATGGGAACTCTTAAGCATGGTTTACGCTGCTATCTACAAATAGAGTTTCTTCTTTATGGAAGCTTCAGCTGTGCTTTTAATGCCTTTCAATTAATTGAATTAGGACTACCCACATTATTCAGGGCAAACTCTTTTAACTTAAAATAAACATGTGAACTTTAATTACATCTAAAAGTATCTACAAAGGGCCACCTAGAGTAGTGTTTGATTGAGTGACTGAGGACTGTAAATAAGCCAAGTTGACACACCAAAAAATGTATCATAGCCACCCTTATTCCATTTAAGTCTGAGGATTACTAGCTACTAAGTGTTCAAAGCTGTGCCCAGAAATTTCCCTTAGCTAAAGGAAGCTGCTTTGCTGAGATTGTAGCTGTCATCTAATGACTGGTCCTTGTGAGGATATACAGTTTTAGAAGTCCCTGTAGGCAAAAAGTTCTGAGAGAATCCGTAGGAACAAAAGCTTAAAAGATGAAGGGAGCAGGATTAGAAAGAGGAAAGGTTTAACTGCCCTGAATGGACAATAGTGGCCTTAGCCTCCACTGCAGGGAGTCTGTTTCCAAGGGAATTCAACTTATGCTATGTATATAATTTATAGCACAATGTGTATTAAAAATAATTTGGGGTCAGGCATGGTGGCTCACATATATAATCCCAGCATTTTGGGAGGCCAATGTGGGCAGATCATAAGGTCAGGACTTCAAGACCAGTCTGACCAACATGGTGAAACTCCGTCTCTATTAAAAATTTAAAAATTACCCAGGCATTTTGGCGTTTGCCTGTAATCCCAGCTACTCAGGAGGCTGAGGCAGGATAATCACTTGAACCTGGGAGGTGAAGGTTGCAGTGAGCTGAGATTGTACCATGTACTCTAGCCTGGGTGACAGAGTGAGACTCCATCTCAAAAAAAAAAAAAAAAATTTGGTCCCCTTCCACATTCACCCATCAAATAATTTAAGAGGTGGAATAATGGACTGCTAGTTTAACTGCAATCAGAAACATAATGAGCACTATTCCAGTGAATAATTGGAGAAAAAATTAAGTTTCTACAATAACAACAAAATCCACAAATGCTGAGTTAGTCCCTACCTGTGTAATTGCTAGTATTTGAGATTTTTCCATTCCAGCCAATGTTGTTCCCCAGCAGAGTGGCCTTGATGGGAGTATTTGTTCACAAACACTCTTATCTCAGCTGTCAGTGTTTTTTGTTAATGTAGTCATACCCTTACTCTCTGTCCTATCTGATTATATGTTAATGTTTCTGCATGTATCTAATATCTCCTCTCATATTTGTCATTAACCCTGCCTTTTTGCTGTTGCCATATTTCTCTTAGAATTTTTTGCTGCTGATAAAGCTACCTCCTAGCATAACATGCATAATGCTTGTGTCAGGAAAAGTTGATTCTGAAGTCACCATCCAGAAATGAGTCACCTGTCATCATTGATAGGGTCTTGCCCTGCTCCAGGTTCCAGAAGTGAGTACCGTAACACAACTATTTTTATAAGGGTATTTTCTGTCCTTCCAAAAAGAGATGTGACTTGGGAAATGTCTTAGCTTAGGGAAACCTGCTTCTCAATGCTTCCTACTCTCCTCTGTTCACATGGAGGAAAAGCTCCATTAAATAAAAAATATCCACTCTCTTATTTATGAGGGTTGCTATTTCTGTAAATCTCACTTTTCAATGTCAGAAGATAGGAAAATGTGTTTATGTAGTGTGCACAGCTGAGGCGTTTCTGGTTGACTTATCTGTGGCAGGTATCTCAGGTGGTCCACTTAAATACAAAATAAACACACTTAATCACAAGATGCATGCATTTCATGATAATTCTTCAAATATTTTTTACCATAAGGAAATGAAAATAATAAATTAAATAGTGATTAGGTTACTTATTCGCTCTATGGTTTACGATGAGTTCATTTACTCAGTTTCTTATCTTTGAGATAATGGTAATAATACTTTTGTGACCTTTACATCAGATCATGTATATAATAAAATTCTGTAAAGTTTTATGAATCATTTGTATTGTTACCATATGAGTAGTTTGTATTATTACCATATTTGAATAGTTTGTATTATTACCATGTTTGTTGAGTGACAAGTAATAGAGGCCTGCAGTTTCCTAAGGTGCTGGATATAGTACTGATTCAGGCTAAATTGAAGAGCAAATGGAGAATAATGTTTGTGAAGGCTTATGAAAAAGAAAAACAAGCCATTTTTTTTTAAACAAAAGCTCTGAATTGATGAGATTAACAAACCTGTTAAGGAAGAAAGCCTCAGAGGTTTACAAGTTTTTTCACCTTTTTAAGAATCTGGGCCAGTAGATTCCTATAAATAAATAACTAGCTCAACAGTGAATAAGTGCTGTGATGTTGTAAATGAAATCAGATAATATATTCACTTTCTAAAAATAATTTTAAAACCCATAGTATAATTCCCAATTTGAACTTGAGAGTAAACCACAGGGTAACTCTTTGTGGAGTACCTACAGAAGAATAAGGCAGACAGGCCATAAAGACAAAGCCCAGCTGAATGATTTCCCTAGCAACAATCTATAAAAGCAATTTCTCCCTCTTCTGCTGTTTTACTTTGAAAAGTAAAAAAGAGTAAACTATAACATTTATATCTGAAAGTTAACAGAATTTAATCTGAGCTTGATTCATTATGACAGACAGTGGGTGGTATAAATACCAGGAAAGATGCTATATTCATGCAATCTGACAAATTCTTAGCTTTGCTTCCAAGCTCAGATGTCTCTCAAGCTGCCTGGCACATCTCTTCACTGGGGGTTTCAGCCATATGTGTCCCTCTCCAGTAAGTTCAGGAAAGATCTGCCCTGTCATTCATGAATAAAGATAAGTACTCTCATATAATTTACTTCCACCAATGCAATTTATCAGTCCATCCTAAATAGAGTAGCCATTTATTGTGTTCTTACAAAACTATTGACCCATTATATAAATCATATATGCATTCTTCAGGCATAAGGCCATGTCTTATAGTTTCCATGATGCAATGTTATATTTCCTTTACTCAAATAAATAATGAAAAGGAACAGAGGGCAAATCTTTATTTAAAAGCCATTATAAGGAAACAACCAATCCATTTGAATAGTTAATATGGCATAGGGTTTTTTTCTTGCTGAACTCTAAGTCGTAGGTGTCCTCAAAGTCACAATGCCTTCAGGATAAATTTGTAATTTTTGAAGTTACCATTCTAATGCAGCTCCATCAGGACAAGTAAGTAGGTGCTTTCCTGGAAATACACATGAAGAAGCAATGATTTGCTCTTATTAAGAAGAGCTATAGAATTTCAAGCAAGAAGGTGTTCTTTTATTTATTTCTGAATAGTTTTAGGTAATATTTGGGAAACCAATATTAACTTCCATAAAATACCCATAAGACTTGTCAGAAAATTATACCATTAAAATTGCTTTAGCTGGGAAGAGTTGTTAAGAAAGGAAAAGAAAATTATAGGCTAATAATTAATATTACATGTAGAAGCTTCAGGGAACTATAAAGTAGATTTTATAGAGCTTGGAGAAAATCTTCCACCACGACAATTACCATGAAGAGTTTTATGACAATATGACACCAAGTTGTAAACTCCTCAAGAGCAGAGACCTTGAAAAGTGACCTAAATGCTTCTCAAACTGCTTAAGCTGAGCTGGGTTCCCTATTGTTCTCAGAGCAGTCATCATAAAGCCATGTCTGGCCATTCCTTGGTGACGTACCTTCTTAACATTTTGGTTATATCCAGTGTGAAGAAGATTTAACTAAAGACTGCCATTCCTCCACCTTTAAACAAATGCCCTGTCAGAGATTCTTCTCAGAAATCTTTAGCCATCTCCTTTTCTAGCCTCAGTTCAAGGGCATAACTTGGCTCTCTCATTCATAAACTATAGCTCACAAACATCTCCTTTCATATATAATTCAGAACTAATGTACAGACCTTCCCTCTCTAAACCACAAGACATAAGATAATTCTATTCAACTCATCTCAGTACAATCTGTGATTCATGGACAGCCCCTGTGTTTGTTGTTGTTGTGTTTGTTGCTTTTGTTCTTGTGTTGACCCAGTGTTGAGGCCCTCCTTAGTGGCTGGTCAGTACTCTTTCTGAGGAGCTGATTAAGACCACACCATGGAATATTATGCAGCAATCAGAAATGATGAGTTCGTGTCGTTTGTGGGGACATGGATGAATCTGGAGAACATCATTCTCAGCAAACTGACACAAGAACAGAAAATGAAACACCGCATATTCTCACTCATAGGTGGGTGATGAAAAATGAGAACACATGGACACAGAAAGGGGAGTGCTAAACACTGGGGTCTATTGGGGGGAAAAGGGGAAGGCCAGTGGGAGGGGGAGGTGGGGAGGGATAGCCTGGGGAGAAACGCCAAATGTGGGTGAAGGGGTGAAAGCAAACAGAACACACTGCCATGTGTGTACCTATGCAACTGTTTGCATGCTCTGCACATGTACCCCAAAACCTAAAATGCAATAAAAAAATAAGGAAATAAATAAATAAATAAACCCACTTGTTCTGAATACACACACACACACACAAAAAAAAGACCACACCCCAACCACTTCCTTCTCACAATCCAGGCTACTATGTACGAGATCGAATCTTCTTAGGTCTACCCACCAGACAACCAGAGACAACCCTTATGCCCAAAAGCCAGAGGAAGTATTGAAATTAGCCAGTCTACAGGGTGCCTGAAAAACCTAGCTAACTCTTACCCCATGTGCCATACATAGCTACCTCCTACTGTTCCGACATGCTATTATCCCATCCTCAGGTAGAAACTCCTGTGTGGCCCTGCCTGGAAGCTTTCTTTCCCTTTGTGCTGTAACTAACAAAGAATTCTGCCCTTAATCTATCCAAGTGTCATTGTGTTGTGTCTTGCCATCAAAAGAATCTTTAAATATTATGATATATACCCTGTGATCAGCATTATAACCTCCAATTTAAAAGCAGCCCTTCCACTGTCCATAATCCAGCAGGATCATCACCCAGTATTCTACTTCCAACCAGAAATTCCATAACATTAAGTGTGTTCACATTATGTATACAATATTTTCTTATATGAAATGTTTACTTGCCATATATTGCTGATTTTTATTCATTATCATTCTTAAAAGCTGTAGCCTATTAATAAATAAAGACAATTTTCTCAGTAAATACAAAGATATTAACTGGGTGGTTTATTTTTGGAAGACTTTTTCTAAACTTATTACATGGCACTGCTATATATTAATAATTGCTTTTCCCTGGCGTGTGTTTCTTCATTATAGTTTTACTGCTGTTTCTTCTTATTTCTAATCTGATGGGTATCAAAGATGTCATTTTCATAAATCATTTATTAAGTATCATTCTCATTCAACAACTACTAAATATTTATTATGTGCCAGACACTTTGCTAAATGAGAGATACAACATTAAAAAACAGACCATCATCCTGCTAACTCTAAACTGCTAAACATTTTACAGTCTGATGAAAAAGTCAAGGATTTATTACCAATATGCATTGGATTAGAGATAGCATCTCCCTCACCTCTTAACTTGCTTCTACAGAATTCCTAAATAAACAATCTTATTCTATTCTCCCCTAAGGAATATTTTCATATTCTCATTCATTTATTCATTGTCTTTTCTCAAAGAGGTTCTGATAAGCATCAGTTTTTTTCATACTAATACAACATTGCTTTTCTCTGAAACCTCTGTGAATTTATGGTTCTGCTGATATCTCCTGTGAATTTTTATTTTCTGATTTCATTAATTTTTTTTCTGTCTGAAGTTACCTTTCTTCTATGTTCTATTTCCACATGTTCAAATTCTGCAAGACTTCAAATATGTAGAAAAAAACATTTACTTATAATTCCTCACATTTGCCCAAATGTCACACATAGACTGAAAAAATTTTAATCATTCTTCTGAAAACCATGATTATAATTTATGTGATATATAATATACCAATAACAGCCTACTGTTTAAGTTAAATTCTAGTTTTCCATTGGCGTAGTGTAGGTATGTCCATGTGTACGTGTCTTATATAGCATATCTGACTGCAAGGGCAAGATTTGTCTAATTCTCTGTTTCTTCCATGTGGAAGATACATTCAGTGACAGAGAGTTCAATGTCTTATTTTAAATTTATTTGGTACTAAATATATGTTTGTCACACAGACATGAAGATGACATCCTGTGTTTATAGCAAATTGGATATAAACATAAGATGTGGCCATTCATCTCAATCCCTATGGCTATATTTTCAACAAACAAAAATGTTCACTTCTCTCTGAATTGTGTTGGTTATTTACATCTTTTTGCACAAAGAGAAATGTTTATTTCTCTCTGACCAATGTTAATTATTTACATATGTCTTACATATGTTCATACCCATATTAAAAATTCAAATAAACTAATATTTAACCTATTTTGTAACTTCTACTCTTCTGTTCTCATTTTTTTCAATAAAATTTTTCAAAGAGACAAATCTCCTCTTTGAAAATTATAAGTTAGAAATTATACTGAATTTATCCAGTGAACTATTATATAGCTATTTAAACTTATGGTTAGTATACCTATGCAGCAGCATAACATGTGCTTAAGATATTCTAATTAATGAAATATCATCATGTGCTCTGTTACCACTGTAGAGAAATTGCCTGAGAAAAAAATTTGGAAGAAAACACTCATATTTTATTAATACATATTTAAATGGTGGATGTATGGGTAGTTTTTCATGCCTTTCCTTATTTTGGAATATTTGTGGTGGAATATTACTTTTATATTTAGAAAAACAAATGTTAAAGTAATAGTAATGCAGTCTTACTGTGAAATATGAACCAATTTACTTTTCAAAACACTAAATCTTTTCACAAAAAAACACAATAGCTAAAGAGTTCAGGAAGTAAAATAATGGTTTTACTAAATTGACCTTAAGTGCAGGCCAATTTATAAATGGCTTGAAGAGTTTAAATTTATAGGTGGTCTCCTTATTCCAATACCTGATTCTACATTAGCTTTTTCTCCTGAATAAATTTCTCAAGTGTATTTTAGAGATTGCAACTAACACTTCTGTTTATATTGTAGAGAACCCCAGGTCATCAGAATATTGCTATGATATAATGCAAATATGCTCCAGTCTCAGCAGCAGAACATTTTAGTCATTACACCATGAGGCTTATTTTGGAAACCAGTAATAATTTATTCTTGACCTATGTAAATAAATTTTGGATTGCTTCTAACTGTGGCCTAATGACTGCATAGGGTTCCCAAGAGTTTCAGTAATGTATATTCAAGGAAAGAAAAAAAAATCACTATTAATTGTGCTGGCAACATAAATAAATGTAATATGCCCCATTATTAAACTCAAATTAAATAACAATCTTGAGATACATCAGAGCACTCTAATTGAAATTCAGCCACTACATACCAATTTACCCCACAGATGCACTACATTTAGGGAATGGTATCAGGGATACAGAAATAGAAAGTTACTCTGTGTGTGTTTGTGTGTGTGTCCACATTAGACACACTTACACAGATATATAATAAAATATGACTATTATATATATATATGTCTATATAAAATGTACATACAACATATAATAAACATATATATGCTAAATTTTACTTAATTATTTGTTTTTTATAATCTCCCTAAATTCTTATTAATAACCTCTGATACTATAATTTCTATCTCTGTTTCCTAAAAATAGAAATATGTAAAAAGCCTGAAGGCACAATAAAAACAGCTCTCAGCCTGTTCAGCTCCCCTTGCTCAGTCTTTACTCTGGTTAATTATGCAATATTAGAATATTTAGTCAGTATTCTATAGATATATAGAACCAATAGATATGGACACCTACACCCTCACACACACACACACACACACACACGCACACACACACATGTATATACATACACAAACACACACACATATACATATACATATACATATGTGTGTATATATATACACACACACATATATAGACATACACATGTGTATATATATGTCTATATATGTGTGTGTGTATATATATATGTGTGGGGGTGTGTGTCCAATGGAACCAATAGATATGGACATATATATATACATATATATACACACACATATACCCATACATACATATGTGTGTGTTGTCTCTCTCTCCCCTCCCATTCTCCTCTCTCTTTATATATATAAATCTACATATATATCTCTCTCTCTCTTTCTTTCTATATCTATCTATATATATCTGTATAGATATACACAGATATACAGATATATACAGATACACAGATATCTATATAGATATCTCTCTCTCTCCTCCCACTCCTCTCTTTCTCTATATATCTATATCTATATGGATCTATATAGATCTATATTTCTATATATCTATATCTATATGGATCTATATAGATCTATATCTCTATATATCTATATCTATATAGAGAAAGAGAGGAGTGGGAGGAGAGAGACAGAGACAGAGATACTTCTTTTAAAGAATTGACTCCCATGACTATGGAGGCTGGGAAGTCCCAAGATCTGCACCTGCCAAGCTAATGACCCAAGAGAACTGAGAGTATAAGTTCTCATTCAAGTCCTATTGCTTAAGGATCAGGAGAGGTGCATTAGTACATTCTCACACTGCTTTGAAGAAATACCTGAGACTGGAGAATTTATTAATGATTAATTGACTCACAGTTCTTCATGGTTGGGAAGGCCTCAGGAATCTTACAATCATGGTAGAAGGTGAAGCAAACACATCCTTCTTCACGTGGTGGCAAGAAGGAGAAGTGCTGAGTAAATGAGAGAAAAGCCTCTTATAAAATCATTGGATCTCCTGAGAACCCACTCACTATCATGAAACTAGCGTGAAGGTAACTGCCCTCATGATTCAGTTACCTCCCACTGGGTCCCTCCCACAAGTGGAGATTATGGGAACTATAATTCAAGATGAGATTTGGATGGGAACACAGCCAAACCATATCATTTTACTTCTGGTCCCTCCAAAACCTTATGTCTTTGTATTTCAAAACACAATTAATGTCTTACCAACAGTCTCCCAACATCTTAATTAATTCCAGCATTAACCAAAAAGTCCAAGTCCAAAGTCTCATCTGAGATGAGGCAAGTCCCTTCTGTATATGAACCAGTAAAATCATAAGCAAGTTAGTTACTTCCTAGATACAATGACAGTACAGACATTGGGTAAATACACTCAATCCCAATGGGAGAAGTTGGCCAAAATATAGGGGCTACAGCCCCATGCACATCTGAAATCCAGTGAGGCAGTAAATAAATTTTAAAGCTTTGAAATAATCTCCTTTGACTCACTTTCTCACAGCCAGGTTACCCTGATGCAAGAGGTGGGTTCTCATAGCTTTGGACACCTCCACTCCCGTGACAGCAAGGTACAGCGCCCTCTTGGCTGCTTTCATGGGCAGGCATTGTGTGTCTGTGGTTTTTCCAGGTGTGGTGCAAGCTATCAGTGGATCTACAGATCTGGGGTCTGGAGGATGGTGGCCCTCTTCTCACAGCTCCACTAGGCAGTGCCCCAGTGAGGACTCTGTGTGGCCATGCCAACTCCACTTTCCCTTCTGCGCTGCCCTAACAGAGATTCTGCATAAGGGCTCTGCCTCTGCAGCAAACTTCTGCCTGGACATCCAGGCATTTTCATACATCCTCTGAAATCTAGGCAGAGATTCCCAAAACTCAATTCTTAAATTCCGTGCACCCAGAGGCTCAACACCACATAGAAGCTGCCAACACTTGGGGCTTGCACCCTCCAAAGCCATGGCCTGAGATGTACCTCAGCCCCTTTTAGCCACAGCTGGAGCAGCTGGGAAAAAGAGCACCAGGTCCCAATGCTGCACACAGCAGAGGGGTCCTTGGTCTGGATCATGAAACCATTTTTCCTCATTGGCCTTCAGGCCTGTGATGGGTGGGGCTGCCAAAAAGATCTCTAATATGCCTTGTAGATATTTTCCCCATTGTTTCTGTCATTAATATTGGGCTCTTTGTTACTTATGCAAATTTATGCACTGGGCTTGAATTTCTCCTTAGAAAATGGGGTTTTATTTTCTATTGCATTATTAGCCTGCAAATTTGCCACACATTAATGTTCTGCTTCTTATTGAATACTTTGCTGTTTAGAAATTTCTTTGGCCAGATGCCCTAAATTTTCTCGCTGAAGTTCAGAATTCCACAGATTTCTAGAGCAGGGGGAAAATGCTGCCAGTCTCTTTGCTAAAGCATAACAAACATCATGTTTATTCCAGTTCCCAAAAGCTTATTCATCTTCATCTGATGCCACCTCAGCCTGGAATTCATTGTCCATGTAATTACCAGCATTTTGGTCGAAGCCATTTAACTAGACTCTAGGAAATTCCAAACTTTCCCACACATTCCTGTCTTCTTCTGAGCCCTCCAAACTGTTCTAATCTCTGCCTCTTACCCAGCTCCAAAGTCACTTCCATATTTTCTGGTATCCTTAAGGCAACACCTCTCTCTCTCTCTGTAGTACCAATTTAGTGTATTAGTCCATACTTATACACTGCTATGAAAAAACACCTGAGACTGGGTGATTTATAAAGGAAAAAAGTTTAATTGACTCACAATTCTGCATGGTTTGGGAGGCCTCAGGAAAGTTATAATTATGATCATGCAAAAATAAACATGTCCTTCTTCACATGGTAGAAGAAAGGAGAAGTGCCAAGCAAAAGAGGAGGAAACTCCTTTTAAAACTGTTAAATCTTGTGAGAACTCACTATCACAAGAACAGCATGGAGATAACCACCCATAATGTTTCAATTATCTCCCACTGGGCCCCTCCTATTACATGTGGGGATTATGGAAACTACAATTCAAGATGAGATTTGGGTGAGGACACAGCCAAACCATATCAATAGCTGATGGCATAAGTTTCAGTCTGAGGACAAGAGAAAATAAAAGTCCCAGCTCAACCATTAAATCAGTGCCATTCTCTGTTATTTAGCCTTTTTGTTGGATTTAGACCTTCAAAAGGGAGGGTAATCTGCTTTACTCAGTCTACTAATTTAAATGTTAACCTCATCCAAAGCACCCTGTCAGACATACCCAAAATAAGATATGAGAAAATATCTTGGCACCCTGTGGCCCAGTTAAATGGGCCCAAATAGCTAATCATCACAATCAGAATCTAGGCTTTTAAACCTTTGATTACGACCATTATGTACCTATTATATTTGAGACCAATGGCTTTGACTATTATTTGACCATTGTTCATAAAATTATTGATTTGGAGCAAAAGTTAGCAACTGTACGTAGGAACAGAATTTTGCTCCCTTGTTGACAGTCAGATTCTACGTGCATTCTGACTCCTCTTGCTCCTGCCTGCTGAGTGTAAGCATTCCATTGCATACTGCTGAGTAGTGTCAGAAGGAATGACCCAGAGATTTTTGTGCACCACTAAAATTATTTTAGTAAGAATTTGACAGCTTCCATAGCAGTGTATGTTATAACCTTAACCCATAATTCACCATCTTTATTTCCTCTTCTAAACTATAATTTTGTGGGACGAAGCCTGAAAGAGACCAATTCAAGAACTGAGTCTGATAACTGAGTAAAATAGGCTACATTTAATGTTAGAGGAAATAAGGAGAACTTATACTGTGCATGAACAGACAGAAACTTACATGAAAGTCATGTATGGTAGGCAGATCACTACATAAATTCAGATTGAGGGATCAAGAGGATTATAATAGTCCAATCACCTCAAGATTACAGGACCTAACTCCACTAACACTAAATTGGTGCTCCAGTTAATGATCTGATAATCTTAATTTAAAAATAAAATAAAGAAAGAAATGTGCATGTGGTGGTTCATGAAAATACTAGCACTTATATGTTGATTTAAAGTTACAGAAAATATTTAGAGGTAAGAACTTTTTATAGTTGTAGATATAATTAACCATTGACGTTCAACTCTGTTTATTGGCAATATGAGTAGTTACAATGCAAAATTAATGCCATTAGTTAAATAGAAGTCTTGGGGAAATATTTATTTTTATGTTAATTCCCACCTAAATCTAGGAAGGAAACAAGGCTTGCTTTAATTGACATAATAACGCCTATGTTTGAACTTAATCACTTAATGGAAACAATTTTCTTTAGTTACTATTTTTCAATAATTTTAAGTTAATTTTGAGAAGTAAAAGAAATGCAAAATGTGAAATCATTATTATGTTTCGCAGTTGAAAGAGCAGTGTCTATGTCATAAGGAAACAAACAAAACAAAAATATAATCTTGGCCATTTACATCAAATGAATCACCTGTTTTTTTGTATTAAGTGAATCGTTTTGCTGCTTGGTCCTTCTGTGGCCATGCTTGATACAACCATAGTACATCTGCTTTCCATTGTGGTAAACTAGTGTTTCTGAATCCAATACAGTGGTGAGTATAAGTATTAGTACCTTGAAAATGAGTAGGGCTTCATAATTTTCAAGGTAAATAAGACAAATGTGTATGTTTTTAGTATACAAATGAAGTAGCAGAGCATTCAGGAGAGACCTTTCAATTTTAAGTTAGTAAAGGCATATTCTTGTCATGGTTGTTCTATAATTTGACATTTTGACACCAAACTATTATTTTTGTCTTGCCCAGACCCTCACGCTTTCTCATTGATAAAATGTAGGGTAATGGTTCTCCAAGTGGACACTTGAAGATATCAAAACCTTTCAAAGGGCATGTGAGATTTGAAGCATTTTTAGAATAGTACTAAAATATTATTTGCTCTTTAAAAATTTTGTTAGCATTTGTACTGATGCAGAAACAATGATGAGTAAGGATATTGGTACTTTTTAAAAATTTTGTTAGCATTTATGCTGATGATGCAGAAACAATGATGAGTAAGGATATTGGTACAAGTCAAGGAAATGGCACCCAACCATACTTGTAGTTGTGGTTTTCACCATCATGTTCTTGGTGAAGTAATAAGAAGTACTCAGCTTTTAAATCTGGACTCTTACATACATAATTTATTTTAATATTCTGCATGATGAAATGGTAAGTACACATAAAACCCTTTTGTTTTACACCGAAGTCTGAGGACTCTCTTAAGGAGAAGCAATTGGCACGTCCTACTGTGCAAGCTAAACTAGCTGCTTTATTCAGGGAACACAATTTTTACTTGAAAGAACAGACAGACAAACTATAGTTATTCAAACTGTGAATTTTGATAGATATTGTCTCGAAAATCAACAAAGTAAAACCATTACCACAAGAAAAACAGTTAACCATATTTGTTCCTAGAAATTTTGTATTTTACATTATACATTTTTTATTTTATGTTAAAATATTTGCTACATTAAATTAACGTTTTCAAGCAAAAATTAGAATGTTGGAAAAGCTGTACTTGCTACCATGATCTTGACATCTTTTCAATAAAGACTTTTCATGGTAGATAAACAGCAATATTAATTATGAAACATTGTATAATAAACTGGGTAATATTTGGAAGCTCTGCATCACTACACCAAATAATATTATTTACATTATCTATGCATGTTACACAATCATTTACATGAGAAAAACAAATGTTTTTTGATGAAAAAAATATCAAATATATATTGATATGCTTTCCAATTATACTTTGAAATTAAACACTAGTTGAGTTTTGGTATAATATTTAAAATAATATTTATATATATCTCAAAATGCTATTTAAAAATCTCACATTTCAAACTGTATACTTGGATGAGACCAGATGTCTTCACATATGTCAATCAAATCTACATTCTGATAAATTTAATGGCAAAG